GTGGCGGCTGGCCTACCCGGGCTCCTCCAGGCGCTAGCATAGGCCACGCGGCCTTGTTCAGCGCACCGGAGCTCGGTGGCCGGCGGCGGCCGGCCTACTCTTTCGTCTGCAGGCTCGCTGCAGGCGGTAGTAAATAGCAGCGCTATTTTCCCGCTATTTAACTGTAGTATGTTTAATTTGTAATTCTTGCTGTTTCCCCAGTGACCTTCCCGACGGACACAAACTCTTGGTGAAGAAGGTGGTGTACGAGCGGGAGACTCAAAAGGCCCAGGCAGTACCTAGCGCGTCCACCGCCACCCGGGAGCTGGATGACCTCATGGCCTCGTTGTCCGACTTCAAGGTAATGATGCAACTGTCTTGTCTATAATTTTTATTTCCCTCGTAATGTACTATACATTGTAACTTGTTCCCAAAGCACCACACCCTCAGTGGATGTGTGTACGGACATCACCCCTCCCCTTCCCTGCCTCCTTGGTTAGCCCGCCTACTGTACTCCGCCGGGGCGTGTGCAACAAATGTTTGCGTCTTTCGGCTCCTCCTCAGCCGTGCTCAACGGCTTTCCCCTTTTTTTCATCTTCTTTTGTGTTATATTCCCCTGTCGTTTTTTTAAAAACAAAATATAATTTTTTCAGATTGAAAAAAACAACAAATATCCCGAGGAAAATTTATCAATTTTACTCACCTTTCATTTCCCTATTTCCGCAATGTGTTAGTTTCTTACATTAACCTCTGAATATGTTTCGTTTCCCGTCCCCCTTTATTTCTCCCCGTGTTGACCCAGCGTTCTGGCTGTCACGGGTTGGCTCTGCTCCGTATATATATTATTTCGGAGTGAGTTGCCGTGTTCGTAATTTGCGCTGCACTTGTACGCGGCTGCAGCTCAGCCATGCATCTGCCCCTCTCACGTTTGTTCTGTTTCACACATCCGCGACCTACGCTTCTTGTCACCCTGTCAAGACCCCTTTCTTTAATGTAAAGACGTGAAAAACAGAAAAGCAGGGATGCAATGAGACCCAAAAACCATTTAGGATTGCGGAAGTGGCATGTTTGCCATGTGTTGTGGTGTAATCTACCTTTGATAAACAACTTTTTTCTTTCCATCCTCTCGATTTGATTTCAGTGGCTAAATGAGTATTTCGCACTATTAGTTCGGACAATCGAGACCATTACTGCCATGATGCGGAGAGTAAGTGGGTGATACAGGTTTCTTGTGTGTCTGGCTGTTTATTTTTTTTCCCTCCACCCGTAGCCAGCTGCTTGTCCCGTGCTGACCCTTTTGTTTCTTACTCCACGTTCCGTCACTTCCACTTCTGGCGGAAGCGCCATAATACGAAAGAAATTCCCGGCGTTTTGTTTTGTGCTTTGCACCTTCATTAGTCTCCTCCAACCCAGTTGATTTATATTCTCAAAAATCTAAAACACTAAAAGATTCTAGCTCCTGTGGTGTTAGTGTCGATGGCGATCACCCCTCTCTCTCCTGGAGGCTACAGAAAGCTACCTAGCTAGTTACCGCACCCTTATCATTAACCGACATGTTTGCCGCTACCTATGTCTTTCTCTCTCTTACTAACGCCACCCACCACCGCCTGGCATTTTGTGGATGGTCGCTGTGTGTTTTAACTGAGGAGGAACTTGTTTTGTAGGGACAGATGGTTCACTGACATACCTGAGGGTGTTTTCTTTTGAGTAAGGTTTGAATTTTCTATTGGCGTTGTTTTTCTTGTTTTTTTTTTGCGGTTTCGCTTTTTGTTTTCCTACATAATAAGTAACGACGTTTTTCAAAAGGCAGTGTGCATTTCCCACCCAAGCAGTTTCTATTATCCTGTGTGTGTTGACCTAACATCTCCGTTGTCAGCTTAAGTTTCAGCGCTGCCCGTGCATCCTGCACTCTCACCTACCCGAGGGCGGACACCCCCACTAGCACGTGCCACCCCGGAGGGGAACACACGCCGCCCCCAGTTACCCCCCACCCCCTCAGTCTGGACCCGCCCCTCTCTCGCCGCCCGGTCTCCCCTCTCGCTCACACACCCACTCTCCACCGACCAGCAGTCCTTTCTTGGCCCAGTTCTCCCGTGGAACGCTAGAAATAGCCCCCACCCCCCGAGTGGGGAGGCCCCCACGCCCCCTAGGGCCCCGGCGGCGGGGAGGGGGGAGGGGGCGTGGGACCGCGGCCCTAGGCTCGCTGGTCCGCGGCCGGGACGGGCTCGCCAGTCGCACTGGGATCTCTGGGTAGGCAGGAGTGTCTGGCGCGCGCCGCCCCGTCGCCCCCTGGGGCCCTGGGTGCCGGTACCTCTCTTGGGGGCGCCGGGGCGGCGCGGTACCCGCTTGAGCTAACCCGCGCCGGTACCGATACCGACGCCACCCTGTGGGCCTCCACGGGCTGCGCACCGCATGGCTGGGCCCTCTGCTGTCCTTCGTGCACCGCCCGTTTCTTAACTTTGTCGGATTTCTCTTTTACAGATCAAGGCGAACAACCTCCAGCACCAACAGGTCAGCGAGTCGCCGTATGCTAAGCCGACCAAAGCCAAGCAGACCCAGTCGGCTCCACCCAAGCAGAACCTCGACCACATGCTCGGCAACCTCCACGCAGACATGAGTCGCCAGGGAGTCAACACGACCCAGAAGGGATGCTGCCACGCCTGCGAGAAGCCCATCGTCGGCCAGGTGCGGAGGCCCGGAGGCCCGGCCTGGAGCAGTCTGCGGCTCCCTGGTGGTGCCACCGCGCGCGTTCACGGTGGCGACTGACGGCTGCGCTTGCTTCCAGGTCATCACCGCCCTGGGCAAGACGTGGCACCCGGAGCACTTCACGTGCAACCACTGCAACCAGGAGCTGGGCACGCGCAACTTCTTCGAGCGCGACGGCCGCCCCTACTGCGAGCCCGACTACCACAACCTGTTCTCTCCCCGCTGCGCCTACTGCAACGGCCCCATCCTGGACGTGAGTGTCCCTCCCCGCGCCGCCCCTCGTCTCTCCCCGCCGCCGCCGCCCCCTGCGTCACCGCCTCCCCTCTCTTCTCTTGCTTTCAGAAATGCGTGACGGCCCTGGAAAAGACCTGGCACACGGAGCACTTCTTCTGCGCCCAGTGCGGCAAGCAGTTCGGCGAGGACGGCTTCCACGAGCGGGACGGCAAGCCCTACTGCCGGGACGACTACTTCGACATGTTCGCCCCCAAGTGCGGCGGCTGCAACAGGCCCATCATGGAGAACTACATCTCGGCCCTCAACAGCCAGTGGCACGCTGACTGCTTCGTCTGCAGGGTGCGTATCCCCCCCTCCCGCACCTCTCTCTCTCTTTTTCTTTTCCAATTTTCCTGTCCTCCTCAGGGCTGACAAGTAGCTAAAGCGGAACAGGCATTGTAAGCTCTTCTCTTTCCCTATCTTTACCTTCAAGTATCTTTCAAAGGTGCCTTTAAAAATAAAATCATCTCTGTAGATAGAGACTTTCAGCAGCGCTGCTGTGGTGGTGGTTGCATGCTTTATCGCTTTCATGCCTGTTTTTAGGACTGCAAGGAGGCGGTGAAGGGCAAGTCCTTCTATGCCATGGAGGGTAAGCCAGTGTGCCCGAAATGCGTGGGTGTAGATGAAGAGGAAGATGAATAAGTCAACTGTTGTTTCGCAACTTCAAGGCGACAATCTTGTGATGACAAATGATGCCGGTCAGAAGTCTGACCGGGGTTGATGGTAACATCAACAACACCTTTCTTTGCAGCCGTCCAACAAATAAACTTTACCTTCCGTATTCCTCCCTCCCCCTTGAAACTGTTACACAGACACCTGTCCGGAAGGCAGCTACCCACACACTCGGATCTCCAGTGACACAGAAACAAAACCCCTCACATCTACCTAGAACCCTTAGGAAAGCTATGCCTGACAGAACAGACTGGAACAGAATGACTTTTTATATATGTGTATAAATACGTGTGTCTGTATAAAGATTTTAGTAATATTTTTCCAGAAAACATTTTGAAGGAAAT